AACCGCCAGCATGGATGCTACCCGCAAAACATCACACATCATCACCAACAATCGAACAAAAACCCACGGTTAACAAAGGCAAAAAGACCCGATTTCAAAACGGCACCACGTCCAATTTCAACTCGTATATTCACCTTTTTTATCATATGCCCAACCAAAACCCATTAATGTTGAAGCAATACATCTATCATCACAATTCAAAATTCTCTTTTGCATTTGAAGAGCAGCATCAAAATATGTCAACGCAAGATCATATTCACCTTTTTCAACGTATGTTCCGCCAAAAAAAAATAAGGTTAATGCAATATCTAAATGATCTGCTGGTAAATGTTCTTTTTGTATAGTATAAGCATATTGATAACATTGAATAGCTTCATCAAGATTACTTTGATAATGGAGTGCTCGACCAATATGTTGATAGCTAGCAGCAATATCTTGATAATTATCTTGTGCTAGAGTTTGCAACAACTTTTTAAAATACATTACTGCTTTCGACGAGATAATAATTGCTATTCTCGCCATTTGTGCTAGTCTTGTATGACGTATAGTTCATTAAGCACCAACACGAATGAGAAGACGTCCATATATAATATGTACAGTTCTTATGCCTAATTCTTTCTTCTGTATATCAGTATATTGTTTGATACTTTCTTGCCCTTCTTCACTTGTAGTCAAACAGATTTTCCACAAATGAAATTGTTCATCAAAATATACATTTTTAATTTCAAATACTGCACCAATACTAAAAAGTACTTCTGGTTCATCCGGGATAAGACTAAACTTTTGAATATCAGCTAAAACAACATGTTTTAATTGAGGATCAGCATCAATTTCAAATAGAACAGATTTTTTATTAGAAGTAATATATAATCGTGCTACATTGATATCACGTGTTGTTGAAAAGAATCCATTTGTGGATATTAAATTACCAATATTATTTCGTAGTTTTTCTAATTCTTCATTTGACATTAACTGACCTCTATATAATTTTAACATTTGATGTTTATTTAAATTTTGTTGATATTCCTTAGATAATTGTGTACACAGATCAATAATATAAAAACGATATGTATATAATTCATCAATATCTTCACTTCTTAATGCACGATTAACACGTTGATAAAGGAAACTTTCATCAGTATACCATCGAATAGCATCATTAGCATTATATGCTTGTCGAAATTCTTCAGTTTTCCTTAATTGTTTCTGACTTTCTTTACAATATTCAATACATTTATTAAGCATATCATTTTTTGCATTTTCTGTTTGTGACATTTGTTTAAGGGCACCCCCCCTCCCTCTTTTTTGCAGAAAAGTTTTTATTTTGAGCTGAACATAGTGTAATGTAGAGGAAAGTCTGGGCTATAAAATGAGACCACTCCCAGCTCTCCATGACCTTCCGTGAAAAAATTATGAAGTTTTTAAGTTTTTCATTCAAAGCCTAGAAAATCTCAATTTTTAGGTTCGTAAATTTTTCTCTCCTTTCCTGTATATTCAAAATTTTTTTCTTATACATAGCATGATAGAAGAAAGTGTGCTCTTCAAAATGAGAGGTCTTCCAGAATTTTCCGATGAGTTTTCATGGAGATATAAGCATCGCTGCAAATGCCCTGAAAAACACAGCCCTGTGTATAATATGTGTTTTTTCTCACTAAGCGTTTTTTCGATAGTCCCTTCAATCCAGTAACATTACGACCCCTCGAAAAAATGATCCGATCGAGCTCAAATTTTTACCACAGATACTTTAGACCCTATCTCAGGTTCGTTTTCTTTTTAAAGCGTTTTCCATTTCAACTTTGGGCGTGAGAAGGTTTTTAAAATAAAAAACCGGTTTTTTATAAAGGATTTTCAGTATTTTTCGAATATCTGGAGAAGGAAACCATATCTTTCAAAAAGAAAAAAAACGAACCTGAGATAGGGCCTAAAGTATCTGTGGTAAAAATTTGAGCTCGATCGGACCATTTTTTCGAGGGATCGTAATGTTACTGGATGAAAACCAAAGTTTTCTAGAAAACCCATAGAAGAACATCTCAGAAAATTCTGGGCAAAAATACATCGATTTTCTTTTTCCATGTTCTATCTCTGCTATAAATTGGAGCTCAATCGGACGTGTACTCCGCACTTGGCAACAAGGTGAAAAAAGAGGGGGGGGGTACCCTTAAGTACATTTAAAAGTATTTGAAACCATAAAAATGATGCTGAATCTTTTGTTAAATATCGAATAGAATTCTGTCGTTTATCATATACATTAAATTTAATTGATTGATCTTGTCTATTTAATAGCCGAATACTCTTTTTGATTTTTTCTCTTTCATTGAAAATTTCATGACGATTAATACGTAATACAAATATAAAATTATAGTGTTGAACATTAAACAAAATTTTATTATCTGTTATAAGCAACATTTTTTCGTTATTTTTTACGTTTTTAATATATTCCAAAAATAAAATTTTGTCCGTATAAATAATAATATTTTCGTTTATTTTTTGAAGAAAATTTTTTAAATTTATAATGTTCTTATCATTATTGTTATCCAATAAAATTAATGTGATATTTTCGTTATCTTCAAAACGAATATTTTGCTCTTCAATGATATGATATATTGATTCTTCTGCCATTTCTGAATATATTCTTTTATAACTTAGTTGAAAAACTCTTTTTTTTATTTAAATACAATTCAGTAATATTTACTTCCTTGATATTTCATTCGAGAAAGATGGTGCCATTTATTTCTTTAAACTAGAACAGAAAATATCTGGTTCTTTGTTTACAAGTAGGGCGGTACTTTACCGGAAAAAAATTGCTGGAAAAAAAATTCTTTTTATTTAATAATTCGTTTTCTTCTTCTTCTTCTTTACTCTGTTTTTTTGTCTCCTTTCATTCTATTTTATGTAAGCTACTAAATTTTCAATTCATAAAAATAAGAGAAATAATAAGATAAGCAGCCAACGAATACAAAGAAGCTGACATGTGCAACGACTTATGCCATCTATTTCTGTCTGTACACTATGCTTAAGGAGATATTTTCAGGTATTGCTGCGAAAAAATGATGGATAAGAAATATAAATGTGAGAACAACAACAACGGTTTTTAAATTTTCGTTTTAATTTTATTTAATTAAAAGTTGTGTAATTTTTTACGTAAGAAACATAATCATAAAATGTTTAGTTTAGATAACAGAAAGAAGAAAACAAGTGTAAATAAAGGGATTATCACATCGAAAGATCTTTTCTAAATAGAGTGCCCTCGCGACACCCTTATGTGAAAATATTTTTTTATCTAACAGAAACAACTATTTTATTCACAACTGATGGCAAAATGTGACTTTGTGACGAAAAGTCAAAACGTGCTGTAGAAAATGCGTTTTTTGGGGTACATAATATAATATCCCTCTAGAATCTTCAAAACTCAGGACGATTCGGGTCTTCTAATGTGACAATCGCTTTAGAAAGAATAAAAGAAAAGACATATGGGTTTATATAAACATTAGTCAGGACTAGTGGACACTGTAAACAATACTATAGTGCATGTGTATAAACCAACATGATAAAATATGTTGTCTGTGAAGAAAGAAAATAAAATGGACTGTAAAATAAAATAACAGAGAAAAAAACATCTACACATGCATGCTGCCTGTTAAGATGAAAATGTGTTTAGGACACGCCTTAATACAATCATGAAAGTATTAGGTTGGCAACAAAGCTTTTGCGTTAAAACGCAAAAATTTTGTTGCCGACCTAATACTTTCATGATAACGCAAAAATCTTGTTGCCAACCTAATACTTTCATGATTGTATTAAGGCGTGTCCTAAACACATTTTCATCTTAACAGGCAGCATGCATGTGTAGATGTTTTTTTCTTTGTTATTTTATTTTACAGTCCATTTTATTTTCTTCCTGTTTTTTTTACGTTTTCTTTTTTAAATTTTCATAGAACAAAAACGCAAAAACGTTGTTGCCAACTGAATATATAGTTAAACTTTGCTTTTCATACACTATCAAATGGTGTCATGTTTGTTCATGGATAAATAAAAAATTCTTCTATCATATGTATTTTATGAAGAGGGAGAGGCTATAAACAGGGTTCTAAAAAATTGATTTTTGTTTTAGTTTTCTCAACGAAAATATTAGATTTAATTAAATTCTTTTACAAAGATATTTTGTAAAAGAATTTTTTGAAATAGAAGCTAAAATCGACGAGAGACCGATTTATGAATCCTATCCTCATCCTTCTGTGAATTTCTGGGTTCGTATGGCCGAGAGTACATTTAATAAATATCCTAACGCTTTGTGATCTAAAGCTGTATTTTCTTAAATAAATTCATTCTGCATAAAAATTGATCAGTAACAGTGAATAAAGCAATTTTCTTTTGATTATGTTCTCTACAATAGCAATGATTCGTAAACTAATGTCATTATTTTACCATATTTACCCGTTTCATATTTTTCTCCGACAAAACTTCCATTAATATATGGCGTATGCCGTTTATTTGTTTACAATGTGTGTCATAGTATAGGATTTTTCTAAGTGTCACTAAGAAAATTCATTTTTTCTAAATCTGGAGCGAAAAACTCCAAATTCTCCCCATAATTCGAAGTTTTCTCCATCAGAGCTCAACTTCTATGCAATAAAAATATCATATTTGGAATTAGCGTCAGAAACTGAGTCGACTGATCTCGGTAAAAGAACGATTAAACGGTCGTATATATAACACATCCAATTTTGAGAAAACTGAGAAGTACGGGGCAGAATTTCGCCTTTTTCACTCCTGATTTAGATATGAATTTTCTCAGTGACAAAGCAAAATTAAAAAAACCCGATACAAACTACTTTTTGCTGTCGACTGACGATTCGAATGGTGTATGAAAGGTGATTTTAACACTTAAGGCAAGAAAGGAGATAGGTTTACAAGATTCGAGGGTAAGTGTGCCCTGAGGCGGTCCTGTTCGAGCTCGCTGAACGATTTTTGGTCGAGGTAGATCTCTGAATGAATGTAATCAATGAAAATCGTCTTTCGCTGTTTGATCATGCACTTAGTTTTGATTCCTAATGCCATTGTGGCTTTTCATCTATCCAGGCCTGACGTTTTAAAAAATCATTGCGCTCTAGATTCGTTAGAAAAACAGTTATTTTGTAAATAGTAAATAATAGGCGTCTGACATGAAAAAGTTGGTCTAAGCTAACTTATAACGTATTGATCCGATCGCTTTGAAACCTAGACCTTAAGGGTTTCAGACCATGCTCTTTCTTTTGTCTAGCAGGAACTTTTGTCCAAAATGCTCGAATGTAGGGTTTCCAGAAAACCGTCGTTTTTGATATACAGAGAC